GTGTGTGTGTGTGTGTGTGTGTGTGGTGCACACGCGCGCGCACGTGTGTGTGTGAGTGTTTTGTTTCTTTCCAAGAGCAAGAGTGGCCTTTTAATCATCAGCAGTGATTGATCGTTCAAACCGTTGGTCCCCTCTCAGCAAGTCGCTCACAGAATCTGGCGCCGGTGCTGGGTGGGTGGTGGGTTGATGGTGGGTTGGTGATGAGTGGGAGTGGGTAGGTGCTGGGTTGGTGGGCCGGGTCACACGCGTTTCCAGACGTCTCCAGGGGCGACCCGATAACAAAAGCACACACTGCGAGCAAGTGTTGGCCTTTGAAAATGGCACATAATGTAATTGTGCCTTTTTTGTGGAAGGACCTGTTAGTTTTGCCGTGAGCAACAGAACACGGCCTGGGAGGAAGGACATTTGGTTTTATCAGGGGTCTCCGCTCATTTACATTTCTTCTTCGGTGTGTTCAAATAAAATGATTGGGATGAAATATTGCGCTTTTAAATCATACTTTACATCCATCAAAGGCTTTAACAACCAAAAAAAAAAAAAAAATACAAGGTGCATTTTGGAGTAATGACGAATGTGTGTATATAAAAACGAAAAGTCTGTTGGGATCAGCTAAGAAGTTTCAAAGAGGGTTAAGCACCTCAAAACAAAGATCACCCTAACACTCACTACCAAAGATCCCTGGCATGTCGTAAGTCGTGGAATACCGAAACACCAACCGCCAGTTTGTCTCAACTTGTCTTAACTTAATCATATTTTCCCATAACATTTGAGGTTAGATTTTATTTTTTTAACTCTTCCTCATTGATTTATATAAAAACTGCAAACCTCCTTCAGACGGAAATAGAATTGTTCTTAGCACTTCTTGCTTCTCACACATTTTGTATACCCATATGCTTATGTCACAGCTGACCTATAACCCTTTCTAGTGACAAAACTAATTACAAGAAATTAATCTTATAATGAACACCTTTTTAGCACTAAAAGTTATCAAAAAATTTGTTCATAAAGATGACCTCGTGATTAGAACAAAATGACGGACTTGCTTTTAAAAGTGATATTGTCCCAGCTGTAAACCTTTTAAAATCAGTAGAAACCACCCACTGGAATTTTTAAATTAGTGTATTAGTATTTATTAAGGAATTTTCTAGAATAGAGCTAACATGTGTTTACAAAAATACTGATCTGTTTAGACAAATTGATACATGTCACTGTGCAAAAGCTGGAGAGTTTATGCTCGATAGTTGAGGAGATATTTGACAATAAGTCGCGCCACGAATTGTTGACCGCACTATAAGTCTGGTGCTGTCATAGATACATATTACAAGGTTATCATAGTCTAAAGAATAAAGAGATGGGGCCATGAAAGTGTCCCCGTCTAGGATATTATAAATCAAATCTCGGATGTCCCGTGTGCAACTTGTGCACGTTAAAGATCCTTTGGAGACCTAAAATCGATAAGAGTAGGCCTCCGCGGCCACCCGGGCAAAATTCTAAATGTCCTACCAACTGAAAATGTTTAATGCATTCCGTGCACTCATATGACCTTATGCAGTTGCGAGCGCCGTAAAACACTTACCAAAAACAAAACAAAAAGTGAGAAAGTAAACTCTCTACCCTGGCTCTGAACCCTATAGTGCACGTCCGGAAATATCAGACAAAAGTTCTTCCAATCACAACAAGGACAAAAATCGACCCACCTACTTATAGTCAAGCACGCGAGTCTTGACCTGGGAAAGGTCACCAGAGGTCGTTACACACAGACACGCAAGTACTGCCGACCACCGACATTCTTCTCCAGCTCTCACACACCAAAGAGCGGCCTCGTTGCCCCGGTGACGCGTCCCGCTATCCAACATGGCGACGCCCGTATCCCGGCGATGCAGCAATGGCGGACGCCTCGGTGGAGTGGAAGATCACAACAGTTGGTCGTCTGCGGCTTCCGAAGCCCATTGTTGCTATATCATCACCATCCAGTGCCAGATCGGCGACAGACAAAGGCGATCATGGTTCTCCATTCATTCCTTTGCTCGGATGCTCTAAAAAAAGCTACGTTTCCCTGATCTTTCCCGTTACACATTTGTTTAGGTTCCCTAAGTAGGTTGTTCTGGGCCTACCCCTGCCCCTTTTGCCCTCAATTTTGCCAGTAAAAGCTAGATTAGATGTTCAAGACCCTTATGTCTATTTATGAGTCCCAAAACTGCATTTGTCCTTTCCTGATTTTTTTTAAAATTGAGTGTCCCACGTGGGATTAATCAAGCACTACCCCATTCGTTGTTTTATATATATA